TCTTGTTGTGTTTCTTCTTTCTGTCCGGTAGTGTCAAAGGTCTTTGCTTCTTCGAGATTACCATCGACAATGACTTTAAGCAAAGAATCTTTAACAAGAAAAGTATATCATAATGATTATGCTTGTTAAAAATGGCTATAACTCAAAAAATTGAAGTTAGAAACAAATCAAACTTTCTACATAGCATGAGGAGATCAATATGCATCAGAATATGTAATAAAAATTTGGGGTGATTTCGGAGCCATTTTTGAAAAAAACCATGGGCTATATATATAGCCTTGGGTATTTTTCAAAAAATGGCTCATTTTAAAAAGTGGCCGTAACTTGGAAAATTGAAGTCGGAATCGACTCAAACTTTCTACACAGTATTAGGACATCAATATGTATCAGAAAATTTAATACAAATTTGGGGTGATTTTTTAGCCATTTTTGAAAAAAACCATGGGCTATATATAAAGCCTTGGGTATTTTTCAAAAAATGGCTCATTTTAAAAAGTGGCCATAACTTGGAAAGTTGAAGTCAGAATCGACTCAAACTTTCTACACAGCATTAGGACATCAATATGTATCAAAAAATTTAATAAAAATTTGGGGTGATTTCGGAGCCATTTTTTGGAAAAACCATGGACTATAGCCTTGGGTATTTTTCAGAGTTTTGACGTTTTTTAAAAATGGTTGTAACTTGAAAAATTGAAGTCAGAATTGACTCAAACTTTCTACACAGTATTAGGACATCAATATGTATCAAAAAAATTAATAAAAATTTGGGATGATTTTTTAGCCATTTTTTGAAAAAAAACCATGGGCTATAGCCTTGGGTATTTTTGCAAAAAATGGCTCAATTTTAAAAGTGGCCGTAACTTGGAAAATTGAAGTCGGAATCAACTCAAACTTTCTACACAGTATTAGGACATCAATATGCGTCAAAAAATGCAATAAAAATTTGGGGTGATTTCGGAGCCATTTTTCATAAAAACCATGGGCTATAGCCTTGGCTATTTTTCAAAAAATGGCTCGTTTTTAAAAGTGGCCATAACTTGGAAAGTTGAATTCAGAATTGACTCAAACTTTCTACACAGCATTAGGACATCAATATGTATCAAAAAATGTAATAAAAATTTGGGGTGATTTCAGAGCCATTTTTTGGAAAAACCATGGACTATAGCCTTGGGTATTTTTCAGAGTTTTGACGTTTTTTAAAAATGGTTGTAACTTGAAAAATTGAAGTCAGAATTGACTCAAACTTTCTACACAGTATTAGGACATCAATATGTATCAAAAAATTTAATAAAAATTTGGGATGATTTTTTAGCCATTTTTTGAAAAAAACCATGGACTATAGCCTTGGGTATTTTTCAGAGTTTTGACGTTTTTTTAAAATGGTTGTAACTTGAAAAATTGAAGTCAGAATTGACTCAAACTTTCTACACAGTATTAGGACATCAATATGTATCAAAAAATTTAATAAAAATTTGGGATGATTTTTTAGCCATTTTTTGAAAAAAACCATGGACTATAGCCTTGGGTATTTTTGCAAAAAATGGCTCAATTTTAAAAGTGGCCGTAACTTGGAAAATTGAAGTCGGAATCAACTCAAACTTTCTACACAGTATTAGGACATCAATATGCGTCAAAAAATGCAATAAAAATTTGGGGTGATTTCGGAGCCATTTTTCATAAAAACCATGGGCTATAGCCTTGGCTATTTTTCAAAAAATGGCTCGTTTTTAAAAGTGGCCATAACTTGGAAAGTTGAATTCAGAATTGACTCAAACTTTCTACACAGCATTAGGACATCAATATGTATCAAAAAATGTAATAAAAATTCGGGGTGATTTCAGAGCCATTTTTTGGAAAAACCATGGACTATAGCCTTGGGTATTTTTCAGATTTTTGACGTTTTTTTAAAAATGGTCGTAACCTGAAAAATTGAAGTCGGAATTGACTCAAACTTTCTACACAGTATTAGGACATCAATATGTATCAAAAAATTTAATAAAAATTTGGGATAACTTTTTAGCCTTGGGTGTTTTTTAAAAAATGACTCATTTTAAAAAGTGGCTGTAACTTGGAAAATTGAAGTCAGAATTGACTCAAACTTTCTACATAGCATTAGGACATCAATATGTATCAGAAAATGTAATAAAAATTTGGGGGAATTTCAGAGCCATTTTAAAAAAAAACCATGGGCCTTGGGTATTTTTCCAAAATTTGGAGTTTTAAAAATGGTCGTAACTCAAAAATTATTTGCCAGAAACAACTCAAACATTCTACATAGCATGAGGACATCAAAAAAGACTTCTCGCTATTTATAGTCCAAAACCCTGCAGGTACTTACCCTCAGCTTTACTGTATCCTTCACTCTGAACAAACAGCATGTACAATGGCCTACACAAGAACAGGATAGAAGTATGTATATTACGTGCACATGCTTACTACCATATAGCGGTTTTTTCAAGGATAATAATTTTTGCAAACATCCAAAAGATTACATAATTAATTATCGCAAATTTCCATTATATTCTGCCATCTTGTACCGTATTAAATTGATTTTCAAGGAGCTTAATGTTGCGAATCTTAAGAAATCCACAAAATTTGCAAAAATTTTTTATCCTCAAAAAACCACTATACGGTATACTGACACTACAGTACCTAGGCAGCAAGACGGCCAGCTTACGCTGCTCCCTCTCCCAACTGACAGGAGTATCAAAGAACTCTTCCAGGGCCAGAGAAGAGACTTTGAGCTGCTCAAGGGCCTGGGCGGAGTCTTGAGAGCTTCTCCTCTAGTTTTTGAGTTTGCTCAAGTTTTGATTTTATCGAGGCTTCCAGTGAAGACTGTCGCGATGCTAGCCTGCGAAGAAAAATAGAGTATCATTTTTGTCAAAAGAGAAAACATGTACCGTAAATCCTCAAATAAAAGCCGGGTGCAAATAAACGCCAGGTTAGCAATAAAATGGAACTATAAATACGCAAATGTAGCCTACAAATATTATAGATGCCTCGTAGATACTTGGTTAAGCATCCTGAAATCACTAGCGTGTGGTCACTCCCGAGTTCGAATCCCACTGTTGACTCAATTTTTATTTTATTGTCTCACTTCTTTTCGAGGTCCAAATGTCATTTTAAGAAATAGACACCCAGGCTTTTATTTGAGGATTTACAGTAGTGAAATGTACATGCATTAGATTTAGATAGTGTGTTAATTTTAAGTACCAGATAAATCGCTATTGCCATAGGAGCTCTATAGTATTAGATGTTTATGTACATGTAAAGGACCAGGGCAATAACTTACTGCTCTCGCTGCTTTAATTCCCATTCCAGTCTCGCTAGCATGAGTTTATGAGAATCAGTCTTTGTCACTTCCTAATAAGGTCAATATGAAGTAGACAGTGGGTGTGGCTAGTAAATACTCACTGGATTGCTGAGAGACTCTGGAGCACTTTCATAAAACTCTTGTTCCGAAATTAAATCAATATCATCGTGTTTTGACCTAAAGAAAAAGTCAACAAACATGCACAAAACTCTATGCATCATATAAGTGGCTATTTCCCAGTAAATTATACTTTGCAAAATCTACTAAATTTCTAATTTTCAGATTTTAATTTTGCAACTTCAACCATATGCCATGCGGGTACCATATTAAATTGATTTTCACAGATTTTATTTTCGCAAAACAGGAAGGAATCCACAAAAAGGCTTCAGTACTTGCCCTCAGCCTTACATACTTAAACTCATAGCAGCTGGTGATTTCCTTCTGGAGGTGCTTGGCCTCGTATTGAAGGTTCTGGAGTTGAAGGTGTAGCTCGTCGATGCTCAGTTTCCTCTCTTGAGTCCCGTCCCTCGTCTCCTTGCAATAAAGATTAGAGACCCTGTTCAACTGACGGAGTAAAGTGAATAGTATGACACTTGTCCTACGCTGGGTAGAGACGCTTTTTGAATCCTGCAACAATGCAAGAAATAACACGAATAACAATGACCCCCCAACTATATTTGTTTTATAATAGAGGATATGCGTGCTAAGTATATTCATTGCAAAATAAATGTATTCATTGCATACCGTATTAACTTTCAAGAAAAAAAATTAGTTCGTTGGACGTCAACTTTCCATTGGCAGCAATGGAGAAATGATAGAAAAAGGCTTGGTACCAGGAAACTGCTCTGTATTTCTTGATAGCAATCTTTTAGGTGACTACTAGACCCCATTAGATCCTCAGGATGCTTTCTAAGCTTCCGAAAAAGGCCTCAAGAAGGTAGCAAGGCAAGAAAATGTGTTTTCCCCCATTGAACTCTTAATAAACTTGACGTCCAACATGGCGGCCAATTTACTGTGTGGGTTAGATATACGGTACTAAAAAGCTATGAATATACTTAGCACGCATATCCTCTATATTAAGAGCAATGTGTGCAAGATGGGTGAATTTTATTGGACATAATTTTTGTTTAGAGAAGGATATATAATCAGATTGTATATACTGTAGTTGGAATGATAGGCTAACAACACAGTAATATGCACATGTAATGCATGAAATTTTGGTGGTGAATCATACTACATTTGTACACATGTAGATAGTTTTGAAAATCAAGAACTATAATATAAAATTTAATTCAGACTTTGTGCATAGCCAATATAAAATCTGCCAATTGCATTTTTAGAGAAACTGATGTAGAAAACATTTTTTAAAATGAAGCTAAAAATGATTCTTTTAATAAAATGGATGCACGTGATTCAATGATAACTTACAGTACTGCTGGATTCTCCGGATTTATTGTCTTTCACTGAGAGTATAATATCAGCTAGTCTCTTGCAGGTTTCCCTAGCAGCTACCGGCACGCTGGTGTATCCCTCAGCTGGTAATAGCTCGCCGTAGAGTGGAAGACCTCCTAGCATTCCGCCATTTTCTCTGGTTGGTGGGACAAAAGGAGGACGAGTTTCCACCTTCTGTCTCTTGGAATCTGACTCCTGGCCTTTCTCCTCTTCTCCTTTAGGACGCTTCTCTCCACCAGAGCCTCCAGTAGTCCTGCTACTGTGACCATGCTTCCTTTTTGAAGTGGTAGACATATTTTACAATGGCACTCCTTTTGACCGCACCTTATTTTCACCCACGTGTTTTCACGTGGAAAGTTATAGAGACTGTGCTTTTTATTTACTACGACATAAAAAGCCAAGAGGAAGGACGGAGACTGTGTTATTGTCTACTAATTTCGTTTGGTCTAGTTTGAAGTCAATCATATCTTTCAATGTTTTTATAGCTGCTCATTTGGCATCTTGTTTTTAGTTACCTATAGTGCCCAATAACAAACAAGACATTTTATAAAAGCAGCTAAAAAACATTTATCAAACATCACTGTCCACTGATGGATAATATCAACTATACTTCAACAAGATTTCAAAATGATCACACAGTAGCTCCATTATTTCATCGAGCTGAGAGTCGCAATACTGCAGATCCAGTAAAACTCTCACCAAGCAAAGAAAGCCTACAGCTGTCTTCTGAATATACTGGAAATGGCCACGAAACTCCTCAAGAGACAACATATTCTCAGCTCAGGGATTATTCTCACCTTGCACACTCTGGCCATTCATCACAGCAACTATTGAAGGCTGGGGATCAACAGGAAACAGTATTCGCATCAACTCGATTTTATGATGACATTACTATTAATAACAATAATGATCAGTACGGTCCCAGAGTTAATGATACTACTAAACCTCAACAGTCTCCTTACCAGTGGAATGCGATAGGAAAGATCTCACATACGGCCATACTGGTACTCATGCTGCTGCTGTTGGTAAGTATATTTGTGATGTTGCTTTATTTGGTGACAAAGGATTCGTGTGCATCATGTACAAGCAATACAGTTAATGATAGTCCTGGCTTTACAGGTATTAGTGGCAGTATTGGTAGTAACTTGTCTCTTCTCCAGTATAAAATGGATCATTTATTAGATCAAATTGCACAGCATGATGAAAACACAGCAATTATCAATAATGCATCAATGCAAAATAAAATGGATGATATCCTCCAGCAGATCACAATCCATCAAATTAGCACCGATAGTTTTCTACGCAAAATAATTACTTCTACCACTGAGTCTGATTCAACTGTAGATGACATATTGCTTGCAGTAAATCAACTTTTGGCTCTAATAAACGTGACTTTACGTCCAAGCTCATGTCGTGACATCAATCACATACTGCCCAACAGTCCTTCAGGATACTATCATGTAAACACTGATCACCGTGTTTACTGCAATATGGGGGAGCTGTGTGGGGAGAAAGGAGGATGGACAGGATTGGGCTTTCTCAATATGTCTGATCTTACACAGAATTGCCCTTCTGATTTTCAAGAACATTCACCTTATACTAACATTAGGACTTGTAGGAGAAGTATGTCTAATTCTGGTTGCTCTAGTGTGAATCTTCCAACAAATGATATTGCATACACTCAGATATGTGGTAGAGTGATTGGATACCAAAAAGGTATTACTGATGCTTTAAGCCATGGCAGCAAGGATATTGCTTCCACTTATCTTGATGGTGTCAGTATCACACGTGGGTTTGCTCCTCGTGAACATGTCTGGTCTTTTATAGCTGGACAAAGATCAAATTCTCATTTAGGATCAAATTGTCCTTGTAACACTGGATCTACTGTTAGTGTACCAGGGTTTATTGGAAATCACTACTATTGTGAATCAGGTAATAACTTTACACACAATGATCGGGCTGCATATTACAACACTGATCCATTGTGGGATGGTGAAGATTGTCTTTCACTTGAATCTTCTTGTTGTAAATCAAAGGCTCTCCCATGGTTCCACAGGAATTATAATGCTTCATCTGCCAGTGATCTTGAGCTAAGAGTGTGTCGTACTGCAGACCAAAATGATGAAGACATTCTTATTGAAATGTATGAGATTTATATCAAGTAATTTTAATTTTCATTTATCATTAGTACATCTTTTTAAATATCATGACTCAAACAATATTGATCTGTTGTTTTTGTTTGATTATGTATCATTTAATTGTTCATTGTGTGTGTATTTTAGTTACTTTTTTGTAAAACAGTTACCAATGCTAATCACTTGGTGGTAGTTCATTGAGGCTACTGTATGTATGATCATGAGTTGGTACATATGAAGCACTTAAACTCAGTGATGCATCATACAGGGTATTGATAACAGTTCTTCTTTCTAAAGCATTGCTCTCCAAGTGTGGCCTATAAACAGTAAAATAACTTATGATGATATGGTTATAGTTGATAACATCAACTATACTTCAACAAGATGGCAAAATGATCACGCAGTAGCTCCACTATTTCATCGAACTGAGAGTCAAAATGTTTGCATGTGGAGACTTATAGATACTGTGCTTTTATAAATTATTTAGATCTACTACTTTAATCACATGATAATATGAAAAGCCAAGAGGAAGGACGGAAACTGTGTTATTGTCAACTAATTTTGTTTGGTTTAGTTTGAAGTCAATCATATCTTTCAATG